CCCCCATTGGAGCCAAGGAGGCACTTTACTCACCAGGTGCTGCTTGAGAGCAGGGAGTGTGCACAGGATCTTCCAGGTGGTTCTGGAGCATCTCCAGTTTCGGGAGTCCCGGTTTGTAGAGATCTGAGTAGGATCAGCCCCCAGTCCTCGGATCAGAGCCTCTCCCCAAGAGGGCTGCAGAGCCACAGGCAAGGGGTTAGGCCTTTCTGAGCACCCAGGGGTGTGTGTGGGAATCTCAAGGGGACAGGTGGGTAGACACACGGCCAGGGCAGAGATGCCACAGAATGTCGGTGCGTGCAAAACTGTGTGGGATTGAATTCAGGTTGCCCCCAGGTGACCACTCGGAACTCTGCAGCCAGGCTGGGTAGATGATGATGATGCCAACATGCAGGAGTGAGGATGGGGTGAGCCACAGTGGATGCTTGCTCTTAGAGTATTAAATATGGCTCAGTGGGTGGGAGTCTGTGTAGATCCATGTGAGGCCTGAGTTACTTGGACACACATGGGACACACTGACCTATACGCTCCCCCACATGACAGCCTGGACAATGTTGCAGGGCTTAGATGATAGGGATGGGATGTATAGCTCAGTATACGTGTCCTGTGGCAGCCCCCACTTCTAAGGAATCCTCCAAAGGGAGATTGTCCTCCACACCCAGGAGCCAGTGAGGGACAAAGACTCATTCATGTGGATTCATGACTATGCAGACTTGCATGCAGTGATACAGTTCTCTGTCCACCTACCGGACATCATTTATTTCTCGTTCTCCATGAGCTGGACCAGAGCCCAAAATGCATTGTCCTCACTGAGCCACATCAGCAACAGTGCCACCATATGGGTCAGGCCCTGGAAATGGCCCACCTCCTGCAAGAACCCAGAGCATCGTTTAGTGACCTCTTGGTTTGGGTGATCTCAAGTGGATTCAGTGACCCCACGGGAGGGCTTGATCATCCACTGAAGGGAATATGGAGATGGAGAATGGAGCTCCTGGACCTCTCTTGCCCCTGGAGGTCAGGTCTTTAAGAACTAGAGCATGAGCCAGGTTTCCATATTCCTGAAGAGAACCCTTCAGGGCCTCAGCTCAGGGCATGCAAGAGAAAAGACCAGAGGCAAGAACATGTGTGCACCCCCTGGATCTCAGTGTGGGGCAAGAATCCAAGCTCCAACCCATGGCTTCCACTGGAGCTCCATTTTAGATAGGAGGAAGAAGCACCAAGGTTAGGCTTAACAATGAAGGAATAGAGAATGGGCAAGTCATGGATGTGGATCCAAGCTGCCTGCACATTATTGCTATAGGCACCAGGCAGGGTGCTTGGGAGGCCAAGATCTTGTTGGGGTAGCCTGAGGAGTCTGGCAGCTCTGCTTTCCTCATGGGAAAGGTCTGAGTGGGTTTGTAAGGAAATGGAAATGTGTGGAGTGGAATTTAGCCCACTGTACCAGCCACATGTCTTATGAGTACCATCATGCCATGGCATCAAACAGCCCGGACCACAGCAAAGTCAGGCTACTTGTCTATCCTCTTGTAGAGCGCTGGTACTCAGAGTAGCATGCTTCACCCTGCCTGATCCCAGAGTGCAGAAAGCAGTACAAGAGGAAGGCACCCTTTCTGTTCTCAGAACTTGAGATTGAGTCCAGGGAGACCATTTGCCTGACCTCTACACTTGCTGTCTCAGTTGCACATAAGAGAGCCACCCAACAATCCAGCCTTGGCAATCTGTGACAAGGCGCATTCTGGACAGATGTCAGGAACAGGAACTGGGAAGTGCATTCCAGAATACTCACAGGGTTGTACATGCTGTAGGCCATCAAAATTCCAAACAAATCCTGCTGCCTGGAAGAGAGAGGATGAGCAGAGCTTCCTTCGCTGCTGAGGCTCTCAGTACAGCTCTGCCGCCCTACCCTGCCAGTCCACTGAGGGCCCAGGTCAACTTTCTGCCATTTGTCCAGGGTGTGCTCTGGGCACCTGCTTGTTCTGAGCTGTCTGGGTAGAGCTGCCCACCAGAACACACAGACATTTCATGGTACATATAGTATGTGCACTTTTATTATCCTTCTGGTGGATTTCCACTTTGCACTGCTGGACATCTCTGTTGAGATACACTATGAGGGTTTTCCATGCCACAGAGAAAGTCATCACCCCATAAGTCAGTTCAGCCATATAATGAATGAGCAGCTCCAGCACCCAACTGTTCCCCATGGGTTCTTTTGGCCACACTCTCCAGATTCCACCTGCCAGGACCACCCTTGCCTCATCCTTGCTTCTGGGACCTGGACTCTCTTAGGTGTCCCTGAGTGGATCACAGATTGGCTAGGCTTTGAGGGTCAGCCTCCTTTCTGAGCATAATGTACCTGAGATCCATTCAGGTGAGCCTATGGCTTCATACTTTCCTGCTCACTGAATCCTGTTCTCTGATTCAGATACAGGACAGAATACACTTGATCTTATCCAAAACGCTGAGAAGCAATAAGACAGAATGCTTATCAATTTCCAGCTGACCATCACCCAGGCTACTTCCACGTCTGATGATTGTGGACATATCAATGGATGCTAGCGTGAAGGATTACCCTTACAGTGGTTTCCTCAATGGTTGGGGAAGTGTGCATGTGTGGGCTGGGTTCACATGGCACATGAGTGTTTTATCTTTGTGAAAATCTGCACTGCTGTGCTGTTGAGTGCCAGACCACTGCCCCATCACAGCAATGACCCACACTTGGGTCTGCATCCTGTATTCACTGGGAGCTATGGTCCACATTGTTTCCGTATCACCCTTTCTAACAGCATGTACTGGCAGCCCACGTTGGTTCAGGCATTCAGCATGTGTTCATATGTTGAAGCAATGAATAATCTGTGCTTTCTAGAAGTGTCCCTCCTGAGCCTGTGTCCCTGGGGTGCTGAGGGCCTGTCCATTGCTTTTGTTATTAACAGTTCTTTGTGTATTCTGGAAGTAATATTGTTACTAGATGTGAGTGAAAATAAATTCTCTTCCCCTGTGTTCCTTTTTTTCATGTAATCTTAGGAAAGTGTATACGATATAAATAAAGGTCCATGGATAAAAAAGAATTTTTTTCTTTTTTTTTTTTTAAGTAACAAATGACCTGTGTGCTGAGCCTGTACCTAGTCTCCTTAGGCCCCTATCTCTGTACCCTATCCCTTAGGCCTACCCATGTGCTGGGGCCACTGCAGCCCAGAGGCCTTAGTTTATTCCATAGCGGTCTCAGAACATCAGATGATTTTGGAAAGTACACTCTACCGTGGAGTTTGATTTCATGGAAGTGTTTGGACTGCAGCCTGGCCTGCTCCTTTAGCTCATGCAGAAAGGACAGCTCTGGTCAACATCAGCCCAGGGGATCTACCAAGGTACCTATGTGAACTCCCCTGCCTGCCCACAGACCTTCTCAGTAATAGCCTCAGCCTGGGCCCCAACCAGGCCCCAGATTTCCCTCCCTGGGGTCTCAGTCACACCCTCATGAGCCTCAATGCTTCCCCCTCCAGCAGGGCCCATCTCCATCCAGACACTGGAAGCCACTTTTGGCTTTGACCAGACACTGGGCAATTAATTTCTCCAAGCCCAGCTCCCAGGGGCAGCTACAAACTCATGACGTGCATAGGGGGTGGCAGGGTTGGCAAAGCCAATCAGGCTCTATTTCTTAATGGTATCCTGGAAGGTGACAGTCAGCAGTTTTTGCCAACCCTCTGAAATTCTGACTCCTGCATTTCCCAGAAGCAGCTGAGTGCTGAATGTGGCAAGAGCACCAGCCACTTTGGGAGAGGGCATTGCTGGGGGATGCAAGGCCAAAAGGCAGGTCCAGGTGAGGGTTGGGTATGTTAACACGGATTCTGTCTAAGGTTAGGGTCTCATTCCAGGAACTTCCTGCCTATCATGGACTCAGCCACTGCTCAGCACCTGCTGTGTCAAGCAGCCAGGATATGCCCAACAGGGAGAAGGGCAGGGACCTGGTCAGAAGCACAGATGTCCAGGCCTATTTGGGTCTGGAGGTCCTGGAAGCAGGATGCAGAATGATCAAGTCCAGATGATGAGATGGCCCTGGACCCTAATACTGGACTGCCCACCCACTCTCCTGTTTAAGACCTGAGCAGTGCAGGTTGCTTGCAGGATGAGGTTGCAGCCATACCATGTACTTCCCCGGATTCTGGGCCTTCTTCACAACGACATCCAGCATGACCATCCAAACTTTCCCCGCAAGTTGCCGGGATGCCTTTGAAACTTCTTTGGTAGAACTGCAGGAGAGAGGAGGCTCAATTGAGAGGCACCATGGCCACTCTAGGGAAGGAGTACAGGGTGGGGTGTCAGGACTCTATGCTGTGTCAGCAGAGGGAGGAGCTGCCTGAGCTTCATGGGATGCTGGCATTGTAGGTGGTGACTTGACCCCCATACCAGAATGCCAGCTGCTGAAGTTTCTGAAACCCACCCATAACCATAGATGAGCTGGAGTGCCAATAACTCACCACAGGAACCCAAGCCTGTCTGGCACAAGGTCTTCACTGTAGTAGTTTCCTCATCCATATAAAAAGGGGCCTTTGATAGGGTCGTTGCAGTCAAGAGGGGGCACCCAGGTCAGAAGTCAAGGGTGCTCAAAGTCAAAGATTGCTGAGCCATCCCTCTTTCTGTTCCATTGAAGCCAGGATCAGTGATTATACACATAGCCAATAAGGCAAGGGACCCACTCCCATCCTCCAGAAACCTGGCCTGTACCTTTTTATACAGACAGATGACTAGACCATGCTCCTTGTCCCTCAGATTCTTCAGGATGGCCCAGTCATTTCTATAAGATACACAATCAAGTATGACCCAACACAGGTGAAACTACAGCACTCCATGCCCCAGGATTTGTCCCCATAGACAGAGGCAAGGACCCCAGCAGCCAGGCTGAAGGCACTTGTTGGCCAGTTCCCAGAGGACAGGGCAGAGGGGAAGTGATGCAAGGACAGCCTCTGTCTGGCCTCCTAGGAATGAAACTCTTCTTCTAGCTGGGCATCCACACCCACGAGTCACCCTGCCCCTCTCAGGCTTCCTGCATCCCCAGCGATCTCAAAGCCAGACCCACTGCCCTCTACTGTACCCCCCGCTGATGATAAGAGTGGAGCAGAATAGGTGATTTTGGACCCACCCAGACCCACATGCACACACATCCATACTCAGGGCACAATATAGTGTAGGACTGAGGTGGCTGTAAACCCACCCTGCCCATAGGGGCACCAAGGGCTCAGTAGTATCACCCATGGACACAGGATTGGGAGACCAGAACATCTACATGGAAGTGACTGTCCCCATACCACAGCACAGGCAGAGAGGTAGTCCCCATCACCTCAAATGAGAATCCATCTGGTACTCCAAATATGTCTCCTGCTTCAGCCACCAATACCTGTATAGGTCGGCAGTCAGCAGGCTACTGGCCACTTTGGCCTAACCACCCAGAGGGTGTGCCTCTCAGTGACTGTGACATCATAGAATGCTGCCAGCCACTCCCAAGTGGTGTCTCATGTGGTATGAGGGCCAGGGTTTTAAGTATCACTTTTATGAAATGCCACCAGGGATTGGCCCTGTGGCTTCTCCAGGGACAGTGAAGAGGGAAGAGCTGAGGCTGGGGTGCCATTGAACCAGTGTGCCAAAGCCTCCTGACATCTGTTGGAAAGGTCCCATGTCCCATTAGACCTGCCCCTCTTTCACCTCTTCCTCTACAGTTTGATTCCAGAACAGCTGTGAAGGCATTTTTACTTGAGTATATGGTAGTAGAGGGGGCCCACACGTGCCTGTGCTCCAACTGAGGTCCTCTCACCCTATGCTTATTGTTGCAATGACCAGAAGTGGGGAAACTCAGGGTTCCACCTCCTGTCCTATAACTGGCTCCACCCCAGCACTGTCAACTCCAGCACTTTCTTCTCCTCCTCCCTGGTGTTTCAGGTGTTGGGCAAAGGGATTCCTGCTGGGCTAGAGGAAAGGGGAGCAGCCAGCTGACCATTGCTTGCCTGGACCTCAAACCAGCCTGACTTGACTATGTAGAGCAGGAGCCAGGGCCTGGTGGTCCTGGACACTGAGTAGGGGCTCAGGTATGAACAGCTGTGACTGCCCAGTGCCAGTCCTCAACCCGTAAGCAGGTGACATTTTCCAGGTGCTGTGCACAAGGACAGGTACAGCACATGTGTGCAGGAGAGGCCTCAGGCCTGCCGTTTCTGAAGTGCTCACTGCCAGGATGGCCATCCATGGGGGATGAAGCAGACAGTCAGCAACAGCTCAGCCCTGTCAGCACTAGAGACAACATCATGATTTCATGTCCCACATTGGCTCCAGGATATGCCAGACACCCCAGCAGATTGTGCGCAGACTCCTGGGCTCTGGTTTAGCCTGGCTGCCTGATGCTTCCTCCTGCATGCCCTGGGTTATGTGGCTTCCTCCTGCCACCCTGGCTGACTTCTATGTGGGTCCCCCTATGTTCCTCTGCATATGTGACACAGGGGTGAATGGGCCTCCCATCTCAGGGGTTCCAGGGAAAGCTAGGTGTTTTCTTTTCTCAGCTTGGCATAGAACTAAAAATTTGGGAAGTAGGTTATGTTTCTAGCTCCAGATTTATTTCATAGTGAAAGTAAAAGCCCCTGATAGGACAGAGCCTGGAGGTGGGGTTCCTCGGGGTGTGCCCTGGATTTCTGGAAATCTTGGAGGGTTAAAGGCTCCCTGGCCCTCACTCTGTTGCTTCACTGGGAAGCATTGCTCTGGTGGATGCTTTCCCAGTTGGGAACCTAGGAAGGTCTTTGGCATTGCTGCTGTCTCATCAGTTAAGAATTACCTAAGCAATTACTGTGTTGCCTACTTGTACATTTTATCTTCTGACAACAGATAAGAGACAAATCACCACCCTTCTGACACATTCATAGCATGTGCCAACATGGGACAGTGATGATATACTGACCAAGGGGGGTACAGCTCCATAAAGCTTGCCTCTGTGCCTGCCCTTTCCCTCCCCTCCATCACAGCTGAGCAGAATACTTGCTCATGATTTCATGTCCCACACTTTGCATCTACATTCACACCTGCCACACAGCACAGTATAGCAGTGAAGGCTCAGTGGTGTCACCCATGGACACAGGATTGGGAGATCAGGGACACCCACCTGGGAGTGACTGTCCCCATACCACAGCACAGGCAGAGAGTAAGTCCCACTCACCTCAAATGAGAATCCATCTGCTGCTCCAAATATGTCTCCTGCTTCAGCCACCAATATCTGAATAGGTCAGCAGTCAGCAGACTACTGACCACTTTTGCCTAACCACATAAAGGGTGCAGCTCTCAGTGACTGTGATGTCATAGAATGCTGCCAGCCACTCACAAGTGGCATCTCATGTGGCAGTAGAGTTAGGGTCCTAAGCCCCATCTACCTGAAGACCACAAGAAGTCTAAATCCTTGAAACAGTTTCCCAATTAATGAGTTTGAAGGTCTGCTAGGGAAACTTGGGGAACTCCCTGCTAGACTGCAGCTCTGAGTAGTGAACACCAAGACCTGCGGATAGGACCAGGCCAGGCCAGGCTGGGCTGTACCAACTGTTGACACGTGTGTGGGCTGTGTCTTAGAGCATGCTGGCCAGGGTCAGTCCAGAGAACACACTGACACAAGTGAGAGCCAGGTCAGGGTGCAGGCCAGTCTGGGTTGGACCTCAACACCTACCAACTGACATGAGAGTTGGGAGTGGGTCAGCCTGGGCCATACTGCTGCACCTGACGTGAGAGCTGGTACCGGAGGCTGGCAGGGATGAGCCAGGCTGTAACAGCTGTTAGCAAATGCTGAGACTGGTGATTGGATGTTGCAGACTAGGCTGCAGCATCTGCTGGCTCTCACAAGACCTGGGGTGAGAGTTAGCCTGGTAGAGGAATTTTGGGGACTCCCTTGCAGGGCTGCTAATTCCACATCTGAGTGTGAGAGTTGTGCCTGAGGGCCAGCCAGTCTGGGGACAGGAAAGGCTGGGATAGGTCTCAGCACCCCTGATGTCCTCAAGAGCCAGGATGGAAGTGGGCCAGCCAGGCTAGGCCACAGCACCAGCTGGCAAGTGCTTGGACTGGGTGCAAGTCATGGCAGGCTGGACTGCAGTACTCCCCAGTAAGTGCTAGCTCTGGAGCTGGGAACAAGCCTGGCAGGGGAACTGTGAACACTGCCCTCCTAGGCTGTTCTACCGCTGGTGAGCACAAAGACCTCTGCTGGGGGTGGGTCAGGCTGGACAAGGTAGTGGAACCTGTTGTCATACATGAGGGCTGGAGGGTAAACTAAGCCACAGCACCTTGGGTGTGCATGAGAGCCAGATGGGATGTGTGCTGGGCTTGACTAGGCTGCAGCAGAGGCTGGCATGCACAAAAACTAGGGCTTGTGGGGGTTCTTGGGGGTCACCCTGAGTAGGCCACAGTACCTGCTGATATGCATCATTCAGATTTGGAAACAGCCAATCATTTAGTTAGCTTAAAGCTGATACACAACTCTTTTGGCCCTAGGAGATTAAGCTTTGGAGAATGTTCAGCATCCATTTAATCAACCAAGCACTGATTCCTACATTAACTCATGGAGTGTCATGTTGTTGTGGAAGGGTTTTGTACTTCTGCACTTTATTTCTGAATGTGAGTATATATTTAGAGAGAAACCTTTTCAAAGTGTTTGAAAAATCAAATTAAAATCACATTGTTTTGCTGCAGATTTTAGACTTTAAAATTTTCAAAAATGATAAGTACTGACAAATGTTCACATTTTATTAAAAACAGTGCAGAAGTTTTACTATCAATATTTTTACTAAATATTTAGTTTATTAGAGGGTACAATAGAAAGGATAATTTTTACATGATTTTCATATAAACAAAACCGGTTTCCTTGAATAGGTATCTGGAATATTTTCAAATATGCTGAGATAAACAAACACGCATTTATGTTATCACAAAAAGTGCATGTTTTCCAAGCTTTTATTGTTGTCTAAACCTATAGCTTCTTCCTTGTATTCCACATCTTCACAATCCATCATATTCTAGGTCTAGACCAATAGACATGATTACTTGTGAGCTGGCTTTCGTCCATATAGTGATGCTACTTATCACTCTAAATATTTCATCGGCAGACATGTTCAAATCCCTGGGATTTCCAAAAGAATTAAAATGTAAAGTTTTGTCTACATGAGTAGAGTGTCTAGGGGGTCTTTCCATCTTCACCACCTGTCTGCTGAGCACTATTCAGGTCATCACCATCAGTCCCAGATTTTTCTACTTGTCAAGATTTAAACATAAACTCACAAAACATGTTGCCATTGTTTTCTTCTGTGTTTGTTGCCTCAACCTGGGTGTGCACACACTTGTGGGAAATGTTTACGTCAGTCCTTTGGTACTTATTACTTCTGAGATGCAAATAGGTGATATTTTGAAAAAGTAATCAATATGTGCCAAACATTTCAAGAGTTGATAAAGTAAGTCAGAAAGAGAAAATGTATCATAAGTGATACATTCAAACATCCAGAATTTTAATGTGATAAAAATATGGGAAATTCTACTAGAATCTCTTTTTATTTTCACTTTCTCAGTACCAATATCTACATGCCTGTCTCATTTCAAAGGTTTCCACGTATTGAAATTTCTTCCTCTTCTACTTTCCTAACTTTGTCAAGGAAAACATTTTCAGAGTGTGCTAATAATAAGTTTTTTTATAACACCTAAACCTGAATTCTCCTTACTTCAAAAGAAATCCAAATTCACCTTCGTGTGTTGAATACTTAGTAATTATGTGCTGAATTCTAGCTGTAACTACTCTGTATCTGTTATATGATAATTTTTATTTCAACTTTGCCACTGTATAAGCTCTGGGAAGTGTTTTTAAATTGGTATGTCTTTTTCACAAAGTCTTGTTTCTCCTGGATGGGATAGTTACAACAACAAAACTATTAGCCAGAGGACTACTAGCAACAGCTTAAAACTCAAAGGACTTGGTGGTGCTTTATACCCCCCTAGAGGAACCTGTTCTGTAATCAATAACCCTGCTCCACCTCACCACCCTTTGCCAACTCAGCCTGTATATCGCCATCTTCAGCAAACCCTAAAAAGATATAATAGTATGCTCAACAACCCTCATAAAAATGTTAGGTCAAGGTGTAGCCTATAGGGTAGAAAGCAATGGGCTACATTTTCTTTCCAAAGAATAACACAAAAGCCTTTATGAAAACTAAGGGCCAAAGGTGGATTTAGCAGTAAATTAAGAATAGAGAGCTTAATGGAACATGGCAATGAAGCACGCACACACCGCCCATCACCCTCTATGTCCTTAAATAAATATAGCATATCAACAGGTACTAGAGTAGATAAGTGATAACAAGGTAAGTATACTGGAAAGTGTGCTTGCAAAATTCAAAGCATAGCTTAACAAAACCATCTGACGTACACTCAGAAGATTTCACATCATGGGACCACTTTGAGCTATTCCTAGCCCAAACCAATAACCCCGCATAATTAAACCAGTCATTAAAATAAAACATTTACCACCCTTAAATTATAGGAGATAGAAATATAATTCAGGAGCTATGGCGATAGTACTGTAAGGGAAAGATGAAAGACTGACTAACAGCATAAAAAAGCAAAGATGAACTCTTGTACCTTTTACATAATGAATTAGCTAGAAACCACTTGGCAAAAATAATTTTAGTCAAAGACCCCGAAACTAGACAAGCTATCTGTGAGCAGTTTTTAGAACGAATCCGTCTATGTGGCAAAACAGTGGGACGACATACAGATAGAGGTGAAAAGCCAAACAAGCCTAGTGATAGCTGGTTGTCCAGGCCAGAATTTTAGTTCAGCTTTATGCTTGCCAACAGAAACTCAAATCCAAATGTAAGCAAAAAACTTAATCTAAAGGGGACAGCCCTTTAGAACCAGGGTACAGCCTGAATTGGAGAGTAAATAATTTTATCACCATAGTTGACCTAAAAGCAGAAACCAATTAAAAAAGCGTTCAAGCTCAACAGCGACCCAACAACTAAACCCCACACCAATTTATAAACTCCCAATACACATAACACTGGATCAATCTATATATCTATATAGAAGTGATACTGCTAATATGAGTAACAAGAACCCATTCTCCTCTGCAAAAGCTTATATCAAATCGTATAAACACTGATAGTTAACACTCAAACATAAACACACCATGCCTAATACTTACCTATATTATACTGTTAGTCCAACACTAGAGCACATTCAAGGAAAGATGAAAAGGAGTGAAAGGAACTCGGCAAACCCTAGCCCCACCTGTTCACCAAAAACATCACCTCTAGCATCACAAGTTAGAGGCACTGCCTGCCCAGTGACACAAATTCAATGGGCACGGTATCCTGACCCTGCAAAAGTAGCGTAATCATTTGTTCTTTAATTAGGGACTTGTATGAATGGCAACACGAGGGCTTACCTATCTCTCACCTTCAATCAGTGAAACTGACTTTCCTGTGAAGAGGTGGAATAAAATAATAAGACAACAATACCCTATGGAGCTTTAATTAACTAACTTACACAAACAAATTTCCCCCCTACTTGAGCCCAACAAATTATGCCCCTAAGTTAGAGATTTTGGTTGGGGTGACCTTGGAGTATAACTCAACCTCTGAATGGATCCAGCTACGACTAACCTAAGCAACTAGACCATTAATTGACTCAATTTATAGATCAATGGGACAAGTTACCCTAGGGATAACAGCAGAATCCTACTGTAGAGTCCATATCGACAATAGGATTTATGACCTCGATGTTGGATCAGGACGCCCAAATGGTGCAACCACTATTAATGGTTTGTTTGTTCAATGATTAAAGTCCTAGAAGTGATCTGAGTTCAGACCGGAATAATCCAGGTCAGTTTCTATCTATTTATTTACTTCTCCCAGTATAAAAGGACAAGAGAAGTAGAGCCCACTGTACACCAGCACTCTAAATCCAATAAATGAAAGAATCTTAATCTAGCAAACTACACACAACCTGCCCAGGGCCAGGGCTGTTAAGATGGCAGAACCCAGTTATTGCATAAAACTTAAAACTTTATACTCAGAGGTTCAACTCTGCTTCTTAATATGTTCCTGGCCAATATTATCTTTTTAATTCTCCCCGTACTTTTAGCCATAGCATTTCTCAACCTAGTTGAACGAAAAATTCTAATCTACATGCAACTCCATAAGGGCTCTAATTCCATCGGCCCATATGGACTCCTTCCTCTGGGGTTTACTGATCAGTGTGATCATTTTAAATTCATCTAGTAATCCCTCTAGGAGATTTTACCTTATATTTTTTCATGACGTTTCATGATTGTTGTTGGTTTCAAATGAAACTGCAAATCTGACATGTTTTAATGTGAATACTGTTTAATGTGAACATGTTTGTTCATGCTTTTTTTTTTTTTATTTTTGGTCTTGTTTTTCTGTCTGAAGGTCTTGAAAAAAGAAAGTCCTTGGCCCTGTTTTGTCTTCAGATCATCTCCCTCCCACACACAACCGTTCTTTAATGTTCATTTCAATCAAGATGCTGACCAAGTCAATTGTAAGTTCAGATGCATTGGCCTTATCTCTGCATATCATACAACTGGCAGTACATTTTTGTGCAAAAAATTTGGAATTATTCTGGGAGAGTCTTCCATTAAGGTTAACTGTTCTTATCAGGAGATGTAGGGAAAGTCATGGTTTGAAGTGTCAGGAAATATTAGCTATTTCTTTTGTACATGTATGTACCTAGGAGCTTTGTAACAAGATGTGTTAAATAATAATGTTTAAAGTATTCTCCTTTTTACTATTTTAAACTTAAAACTGTGCTTTAACCCCATTTCCGAAGACTAAAGAATAATTTATAATGCTGAAAAAAAAAATAAACCACAATGGGACAGAAATGGTGCCATTTGAGATGGATATAATACAGAGAGAGCAGTTGCCCAGTGGGTTTTCAGCAGTAGAAAAGAAAGAACCAAAAAAAAAAATGTTCCTTGTCACTCCCTGTGGAAAAAAATGTTGGATTTTCACACTAACTCCCTTGTCTGCTCGTACAAAGACACAGAAACATCAAACACAGGTGTCCAGCATTTGGCCAGAACTAGAAAGGGCCAGGACACCATGATGTGCAGGCCACACCCACGAAGGCAGGTCAGAAACCTACCCAACTCTCCCTTTTACCACCACCACCTGCTTCATTCCCAAGAAGATTCCCAAGAAATGGGACATGAGCACCCAGTCCCTTCCCAGGTCTCTCTTCTCCATTGAAAAAAAAAATCACTTGAAGACAGCTTCCATAGGAAACTGGCCAGGATTCTTGAGAAGGTCAAAGAATTAAATGAGTGTAGCCTGCACTTAAAAGGAAGGAGAAAAGTAACCACGCATGGAATAGAAGATGGCAGGAACCAGGACAAGAAGGTGGAACCTATTGCCACCAAGAAAGCCAGAAAGTATTCTTCCCAGGAAGAGGCCGGAGCTGCAGCGAGCCTGGCACATGGAACCTTCCCTTTTAACCCCCAACCATCCTCTGCCATTCTTAACCCACCCAACCCCAAAAACACCACATGTCTCTACAATCCAGGTGTTTGTTCATCTTGAACGCAGATTCAAAACCAAAAATACAGACAGAAGCATTGCCCAGGCCAAAGAGGTTGGCAGAGCTGCAAATGTGCCAGCGCTCAGGTTTCATGGAGCCCTCACAGCCCACTGCCATTCAAGTCCCAACGGAGGGTGTCCTGTGCCACCTGGGGGCTCTGACAGCAGGGGAACTGGGTGCAGCAGTAGTCCCTGAGCTCCCTATTGAACAGGAAGCACAAGACAGGGTTAATGCTGGCCTGAAGAAGGTGAGCCCCACGAGGCCATCAGCTAGGCCTGGGGGACAGGGCTTCACCAGGACCAGTAGGTAGCTGGCCACAAAGTAGGGGCCCCAGAGAAGCATGAAGCGCAGCGTGATGGCTTAGAACATCCTGCAGAGCCACTTCTCAGTCTTGAACTCCTCCAGCACAAGCAAGAAGTGGATGCCACGGCCAGACTCCGCCACCAGGATGCCCACGAGCACGGGTGGTATAGGTCCAATGCCAAAGTCTATTTTCCAGTTGGCAGCTGCCTGGCCAGTGGTACCAGGCTGTGGTAAGTCCAGACGTGAGTTACAGCGGGTACTAGGCTCTCTGGCCTGATCTTACGGCGGTCATGAATGAAGAAGTGCAGGCAGAGTGAAATGAGATTTGTGGCACCCACCACTGTCCTGAAAAACAGCAGAATGCTAAGCACCAACGATGCCATTGGGCCACTGCTCCAGAGCACACAGTGTGTCATCCTAGTTGCCGCCTGCTCTAGTAAAGGTAGGAAGGCCTTGGCTAGTGCCAGTGCCAGTGCCCAGAAGGTGCACACCAGCATAGTGGTACACGGCCAGCCAGCCAGGCGCTCAGCTTAGAAGTGGTGGTGTTTCATGCCCAGGTAGCGGGTGACACCCATGCTGAGCAGTAGGAAAAGCCGCATGGAAGTAGAAGAATCCAATGAGGAAGGAAAGCAGCCTGGTGCCAGTGTGTCCAGCAGCGCCCCCTTGGCAGCCACAGCCCTGCATGCAGCAAGCACAACTGCCAGGAGGCAGGTGAGCATGCCCAGCCTGTCTGCCAGTCACAGGTCCAGCAGCAGGCAGTATGGGGTGTGGTGCAGGCTGTGCTTCTGCATGAGCAGCAGTGCGAACAGCACATGGCCCCACAGGCTCGTGCACAGCAGCAGGCTGAGCGTGGCCAGCTTGAGGCCCAGTACAGTTGACACTGATCCTTTAGCTTGGCCTTGCAATCATGGCCTCTCCTGGTATGTGTAACGCACTGTGGTAACCCCGAACTTGCAGCTCTCTCTGGCTGCCCAGCCTGCACTCAGGTGCCTCTGCTTCTGCCACTGCTGCTGGGCAGGCCCTGTGAGAGCTCCCAGCCTTAGTACCCTGCATGCTCCTTCCCTCCTCCATGCTGCTGCCACTATTGCAGCAGCAGAGCCCCATCACCTCTGCCAGAGTGTGCAGAATGCCACCCAACACCATACTATTCTTCCATCTTCATGTTGTAGTTTTTTTTTTTTTTTGAAGACTGCAAATTCAGCATGACAGAGAGGAGGAAAGACAGGAAGATTTTCCATCCAATGATTCATTGCCCAAGTAACCTCAATGGCCATAGCATGCTTGTCCGAAGCCAAGAGATTAAGGGTCTGCCATGGGCCAGGCGCCATGGTCTAGAGGCTAAAGTCCTGGCCTTGAACTCTCCAGGATCCCATAT